TATATCCATGAGTTTCATTTTAAATAAATAGAGTTCAAAAAATAGCCCACGTAATTGAAATATTAATATAATTTATAAAACATAACTTGTATAAAATAAATTATGGTAAGTCAAAACATACATAAAATATATTATGGTGACTCAAGATATAATATAACTCACCTTAATATTAACCTTTACTATTTTGTTCTTATTTTTGCACCCTCTCACGGCTGTTCCTTTGCTCTCGTTTTTCCTTTCTATTTCCTTCGTTCTATTCACTTACAGCCCACCCATCCTTTTATATACACAACCTGGGGGGGGGTTTTGCATTAATGGCCCAAATTGCTAAATCACCCACCCTAAACCTAGAGAACCCAGATGGCTGTGATTTGATTAGTCCAGCACACACGCTAGATTTGTTATTATCACTATTAGATTTGTTATTATCAGATTTATTATAAGATTTGTTTTATTTATTTTATTCTCAGTATTATTTATTTCTTATGATTATTTATTTATTTAACTTGTGATGTCATTTTACTTTGGCCTAATTCTTAAAATAATTATATACCCTTTTTTTTCAATAATATATAATCCCTAATTTAATTACACTTTATCTCATACTCCCATAACATTTAATATTTTATTTTACTCTTACGGAATATTTAATTAAACATTTAGAGTTTTTCTCATTTATAATTCAATAATCCTAAAATTAAATTTAAGGGACAACTTAAATTTGTGAGTTGTTGCACCACTTATCCTATGTTGTGTAAATTGGTGTAGAATTTAGTTTTGCTTCCTAAAGTGAATTTCTTTGGCTGGCTTGCCTGGAAACACAAGGTGAAGACATCTGCATTTTTACAAAGAATTAGTGTTCTTAATGGCACGTCCTCCATAGCTTGTAGTTTTTGTTAAGAATGCTGAGGAATATGATTAATGTGTTATTGCATTGCCCTTTTGTTTGAGAAGTGTAGTCAGCCTTATTAAGATGGTGGGGTGTTGAGTGGACTATCCTAGGTTCTGTTGAAGGAGTATTGCTCAGGTGGGAGGGTCAGATTCTAAAGAAACTAGAGAAGAAGATTTGGAGAATTATTCCCCTTGCTACCATGTGGTCCATATTCTGTATTTAGGGATGCCAAACCTGTAATTTTGGAATTGTGTGAGCTTATAAAAATTAGAGTTGCATTATGGTTCAAAGCCTCTTACAGAGATCTTCAATATTTTGTGACTGACTTTATGTTCAATCTAAATCAGATTAGAGTATGCATTGGTGGAGGTTGAGTTGATCTTGATTTAGGGGATGAGGCCTATTGTGCATATAAGTAGGGTGTGTTGCAGGATATTGTTGTGTTGATTGCAGGTTGGTGAGGGAGTCTGCAAGTATTTGCTGGTTTAAGTTTTGTTTTTACTATGAGAGCAGAGTTTGCATTGGAGGAGGTTGAAGTTCTCCTATTATGTTTCATCTTAGTGGCTGGGTTGGGTTTGACTTGCTTGGTTGCTGATGGATTTGGATTTGGATGGCTGCTGTTACTGGTTATTGTTGTTAGTAGGGCTATTTACGGGTCGAGTCGAGTCGGTTTTACCACTGAACCGTCACTCGAACCGACCTCGTCGGCTTACAGAAGTGGTCATCCGATTTCGACCCAAATATTGCTCGAAACCGTACACATCAGGTTCTCGGTTTAGCGGGCGGTTTTCGGTCGGCTAATCTTCCATTCATTGCTTCAATTCCATGTCTTTTGTCCCTTCCTTTCTCACAAAAATCACAGAAACATACATATATGCAACATAACACAATCACAGTAGCATTTTATACAAATTTCAGAGATAATAGACTCTCTCTCACACACACTAGAAAGAATGAAGTAAAAATTGAAAATAGAGAGAAGATACATATCTTTCTGCCATGGCACAATGTCACCGTTATCTCTACTGTACATCACCGCCATGTACGATTCTTGATCTTCCGCCAAAAGGGTTTCGATTTCGGTAGATCAAAGACTCGAAGTTGATGGTTTTGGGGTTCGATTGGTAGATTAGAGAGAGAGGGAGATGAAACTGTAAGAGAGAGAGAAAGGGTTCAATGGCTTCTGGATTTTGGGTGTGGTACATCTCAAACTTGAGAGAAAAGAAGATGGTAGATGAGAGGGTGAGAGAAATAAGAGACGGACATGATGGCAGATCAAAGACTCCACTGGGAGAGAATTGAAAGAGAAGGAACACAAAAAGGTTAGAGAGAGTGGGTGGGTAAAGTCTGAATATTCAGAAGAAAATGATAAAAGGCTTGTCTTGGGAAAGTAAGTGCGGGAACCAGAGTCAAACTTTGGAAACATAACTTCCTGTTTTAAATATAAAGTTGCAGGGGTAGTTTGTGTAATAATAGGTCGGTCGGATTGGTTTAAATGATTCTTTATATGCGGAGCCCGATATCCGACCGAAATTTGATCAAGTTTTCTAAATGTAAACCGCTGCCGACCGTGAGATTCTCGAAACTGCCTATACTTGGGTCGGTTCGGACAGGTTGGTTCGGATTTGTTGGGTGATTCGGATTCATGAACACCCATAGATTTGATCATTGGAAGTAAGTGGCCCATTTCAAGCTATTATTCGAATGAACCAAGAAAGGAAAGACTTGCAACAAAAGAAAGAGATTTACGGGAACCATGAAGAGATAAGCAATGAGAACAGCAAGACACGGATGAGAATATAGGCAAAGTTGAGAAGGAGTTCTGGACAAACCACAGCTTGGCCAAGAAATGGTTTCAAAAGGGGCAATTTTCAGGGCGGTTGTAGCTGCAATTTCATTTTCTGTATCGCAGCATAGCTCCTCTAGTAGAAGAAGACATCTAATGAATCAAAGCTCAAGCTATGATTCAAATCGGCAAAGCTTTGGGAGTGGATTTTGAAGGTAAGGAAACGGAAGTAGCTGAAAGAATTATGGAAATGGAACAAAATGACCTAGAGTAGCTAGCTCAAAGGAATGAGGAAATGGGTGCTTAAATGAGTAGCCTAGGAGGTAAAAGGGAAAATTTTGTTCTAATGAAGATTATGTCTTGATTGGGTAGGTTTGAAAAACGAAGGAGAGTGAAAGATTTTCTCAAACTTATAAAGGTGGATAGGGTACTTTTTCAAGAAACAAAAAGATGAAACATCTTAGAACAATTTGTTAGATCTCTTTGGCCTGGTGATTTGGTGGAATTTATGGTAGTGGATGCTATAGGCAATATGAGAGGGCTATTGTGTGTATAAAAGATTGATGTGTTTGACCTAGTGGACTGCTGCAGTAATAGGAATGTCATCGTTCTTTCAGGAATGATACATTATCAACTTGATTGTGTTATAGCTAATGTATATGCACATAATGATAGTGTGAGAAGAAGGAATTTGTGGGAAGTCATAACCAACCTCAAAACCTTTTTTCTTAAACCTTGGTGCATTAGGGGGGATTTCAATGAGGTTAGAGCTATTGATGAAAGGAAAAGGTGTATAAGGAGAGATAGAGAAATGAATGAGTTTAATGATTTTATCGATGACCTTGAAATGGTGGATACCCCAATGTTTGGAAGAAAATATACCTGGTGCAACTCACAGGAATGTGATAGATGGAGTAGATCAGATAGATTCTTATCAAGTCCAATGTGGTTAGAATGGTTCAAATTTAAACTCTGGGGGCTATCAAGGTTGCTATCTAATCATTGCCAATTCTTTTGATGGAAGATGATATGGATTGGGGACTCAAACCCTTAAGATTTATTAATGCCTGGGTTTTGCACCCATCTTTCTTGAAGGTGAGAAAGGTTTGGAAAACACATAAGTGGTAGGCTAGGTATGCTATAAAATAAAGACAACATTGCAAGCAGTTAAAGAGGCCTTAAGGAAATGTAATTATTATGTCTCTGGGAATGTAAATAGTAAGAGGAACTGAATTACTTGGATTTGATTGCTGAATTGAGATCCTTACAAGATGTTGAAGTAAGGAAAAGAAAGGAAATCAAAGGGAACGTATGGAAGTCAAGAAAAATGGAAGAATGGATTTGGTTACAGAAGTCTAGAGTGAACTGCGCTCTAAAAGGTGAAAGAAATACCAGGTATTTCCACATCATGGCTACCAAAAGGCATAATAGGCATCTAATGGATTCAATCACTGTAAATGGAATTAGCTATAATAATCCCATGGAGAAGAAGTAGGTGGTGTCTAACTACTTGAAGAGTGCCTTCCCTGAATATTGAGAGGACAGACCAAAATTCTCTTGTGATTTCAAGACAATTGAGCCAAGCCATCATCTAAAATACTTGAGAAGACTTCTTTGAAGCAGAAATTTGGACTATCATCAAGGAATGTGATGGTAACAAAGCTCATGGGCCTGATGAATTTAATTCAACATGCTTCCTAAAAGGGTGGAGATTTATGAATTTATGTACATTACTACATAGCTTTTAGGTTGTGTTTGGATCTTGGATTTATATTTTAGGATTTGTGGAGAAAAAGTGGGGAAAATAATTTCAAGGTCTCATTATTGTCAAGTAATATTGATAAATGGAGTAGCATTGTTGTTGGCCTAAAATGTTGGCATTTTCTTGTTGGTCTTTCAGCCAACTTACTGCTACTTAGACCAATTATAGTTGAAGAGTCTTATTAGTTTTTGGATTTTATTTTATTTATTTATTTATATTTATATTTTTGTTTTTGGAACTTGTAGTTTTTGGCTTGAAATGGTTAATTTCCTGCTAGCTGTGAGTGACCAATAGCTGTAATTAATCTTCTGACCTTTAGGATTTAACAACTTTTCTTTCTAAGCAAATTTTTAAGGCTTTTTTTTTTCCTCCTTTAGATTATTTTATTCCCTATTATCTCTTTCTCGTAAAACAATTAATGGTTTTTTTTTCTGAGTTAAACTCAACTGGAGAATGGGTCTGAGTAAAATAATTTCTGACTTAAACTCAATAGTTTTTGCATTTAATTTTAATTGGCAAATCGTAGTGATTTCTTTTTTTTTCTTTTTTCTTTTTTTTTTAGGGACACTATTGTCGAAGAAGTCCGTGAGGGTGGAGAAAAAATGGGGCCACCCAATATACATCATTGGCCATGACAAGACTACTAGTTCTAGCCATGCTGACAGGCTCAATTATATTGCCTCCCTAGCATCGATTGCTTCATTTGGAACATACTTAGGCTACTATCTGGCAGAAAAGCCTCCTCTGTTGGACTTGGAGGGTGTGAAAGCGGTGGTGGCTTTGGGAACTGCTATCCAAGCTCAGGGCGAAAGTTTGCAAGAAGAGATGACAACCATAGGGAGCAGCATCGAGACGATTAAGAAAGACATCCAGGAGCTGAAGCAGAAGAAATCTGGCTTCAGGTTTTGGTGAGATGGAGATTATTCTTGAAGGGTTTTTACGTTTTTTAATTAACAGAATGCCTATATCTATGCCTATATCTATTGTTTCTTGGATAAAAAAGTGTCTATAGTTGACACGTAACCTTCGAGGAAAAATATCCTACTCATATGCCATGAAAGAAACTGTGATGAACAAATTATGTTTTTTTAATTAGAATTTTTGCTTTCTCTATTGCATGATAAGTATTGACTTTTTGTTGGTATCGATGAGATGTAATTCATAAAGTAAGATCTTTCTGATTTTAGTGTTTAGTTTTTTGGTTTTTCGTGTTTTTTTATTTTTAGTGAATATTTTTAAAATTTTAAATATATTTTTTTACGTTTTTAGATGCACTTTTTACGTTTTTAAACATATCTAACATAAATATACCTAAAAAGTAAAAAATTTGCGAAAAAAATCTTTTAAAAATTCACTAAATACCAAAAATATAAAAAAAATACAAGTATTTAGTACATTTTTTTATTGTTATGTATTTATTAATTTTTTAAAATATTTTTTCACAATTTTTTTATTTTTTAGATACATCTAAGTGAGGTGCATCTAAAAACGTAAAAAAATATAT